ATAATTGCACCATGTTCTTTATTCCTGTCAGGTTTATTCATAGACTTTTTTTTTAAGGCACACAAGGGACTGTCTCTGCACACATCATTGATTTTGCTAATAAAATCTTATATTTTGATGGTACATTTCATTGGAAAATCATTAGCTGCTCTATATGACTTACAGTATCGTGGGATGGGAATGTTTCCTGTTGCCTTCATGGAGAGATTGATCTAGATTGATTTCTTTGATTTCTTAACAGCTACTGGGAAAGGGCACAGAATCAGATGCCTCATCTCTGCTCCAGTCTCTCTCACCAAGGCTTTTCTTCCTGCAGGGAGTGGAGAAGGTGCTTAAAACACGTTTGAAGTTATTCTAGTGCCAAATGTGGGGAGAGGACACCTGTTGGACCATGGCCACCATGTTGTTCCCAGTGGTCCTTCCATGTGAGATTCCTGCTGGCAGCTGTGACCATAGGTCAGCTGCTCAGGTGGAGAGCATTGTTTCTATTCAGGCTATTCAAGCAGGTTGAATTGCCTCTCAGCCAGGAGAGTATCAGCCAGGACATGCTTGAAAGCCTCAGGCTGTTCTTGCTGTCCCTTCTAGCTGAGTTCTTCAGGAGCTTGGATTAGCAGCACATGGTCTTCAAGCCCAGAGCCCATGGAAAGGCCCGGAGTGAGGTGAATCTGGGCACTGCTCTGGTTTATTTGGCTGTTAAAGGGCTTTTCCCCTGTAAGGGAGTGTTGGACTGGCAGTCAGAGAACCACCTCTGAGCCAAACTCCAGTCCTGTATTTAGCGGCAATTAGCAGATTTGAGTGCGTCCTTCATTCAGCCAAAAAACCTGGGAGATGGCACAAGCCTGTATTTTATTGTATTCATTAATTTAGTGAGAGTGTGTGTGTTGTATTTGAGGGAATGTTTAGTGTTCAGGTTTATAGAACTGAATCTGATTCTGTTTTACAGGAGACAGCCCAGTTGTCCATAGCAACCTGAAATTGATTTCTTCCTCTACCCCCCCTCTGCTGAAAGCTGTTCCCTCTTGAATCATCCCTTTAATTTAATACAGTGAACAGGATGTCCCTGCATGCAGAACCCCTTTGTTTTTTTTTTTAAACAACAAGTAACCTAGGCAAAAAAAAAAAAAAAAAAGTCTTATTTGAACAACAGCCTTGCCTCTGTCTTTATTGCCACTTGGCATTAGTCCTTGTTGTGCTGTTTCCTCATGCTTTGTTTCAGGCGTTGGAGGCCATTATCAGTATTGGTTAATCACTAGTGCTGCCACAGGGGGATGTCCCCCTGCACACCCTGGCCAACATGGCAGTAAGTCCCTCTTCAGCATGAAACACTTCAGGTTGCCCTGCTTTGTGCTGAAAAATCTATTTTTTCATAGCATGTGTACCATCAGTCCTGTGCTTTCCCCTGATGTGTGGTGGTGCTCACATGTGGCACTGGCCATGTTGTGGCTCTGGCTCTGACCTGCCTTTTTTTGTGGGTCTTTCCAGTGCAAGCAGTGGACTTGCTTCAGAGGAGGCTGGTTGGAAGGTGTTGGGGGAAAAATGGGAAGAACTGCCTTGCTGTTTTGTTCTTATTTGCAGAAGAAATTTTTGTCATCTGTGCGGTGCCTGAGGACTCCAAGGGAGTGATTACCCTGTCAGAGAATTGTCAGGGATGAGGAATTTGGGACATTTGTGCTTTTGCTACCTGGAAGAGCACTTGACTACCTTTTGGAAGAATGACAGCTTGTGTGTGGTCAGCGCAGAATGCAAACTCTTTCCACGTTTGCTTGCCCCTGGATTTTGCACAGCGTGGCAAGACAGCAGAGATTTTTTCCTGTGTTCTTTGTTCTTGCCCTGCTTGTTGCGAAGCCACTGGAGGAGGAGGTGTTGCTGGGCTGGGGCAAGGTGTGCCGTGGTAGCAGTTGTCCCACCAGACTGGTCCCTGTTGATTGTTCCACACAAAGAGAAGCAAGCTGCTGCTTGCATCCATGCTTGGGCCATTAATACAAATTGCACCAATCTGTGCTGTGAAATGTCTGGCTTTTCCTGGCTTGTTTTATGAAAAGTTAAAGGGGTAAAAAAAAAAAGCACACTAGATCAGTATGGCAGAGGCTTCAGTTGCGTGTTCACCTGCTGTCACTGTGGGATGAAGCCATGTCACTTGACATGCCTCGTGTATGGCACTTGTTGAGAAGATAGTTATTTCATCTCTCTGGTTTTTTTCATGTCAGTCAAAAAATGGTTTGTTTCATGTGCATCATCTGAACATTGCACTGAATAAGCTATCCAAAAAAGGTTAATCTCCAATTCTGTACTGCTTTTACTGTCGCATCCAACTGCTTCAAAGACAGTGATGAGTGTATCTCTAATGATGACTCCCAGATACAGAGGTAGCACAGGCATCTACTTCTTTCAGGTGCCAAAACTGAGACTTACAAGGCCTGTTTTTTCAGAACACTTCATGTTTTGTAGTGCTGTACATGGTTATAGTACAAGTCTTGATTAAAGGTTGAACACAGAATCTCAATCCCTGCCTGCTAGTTCTTGTCTTTTCTGGACATAGTCCTTCTGTATTCTTATTCAGCCACAAAAGGCACAGCAGTAAATATGTGGGAAATTTTGATATATGTGACTTTGCTCTTATCGTTCAGAAGGTTTATGGCAGAGGCATAAACAAGATCTAATCTTTCCAAGTGACGCTCAGCTGCCAGACCACAAAGCTTCCTTTCTCATCTCCTTACTATTGCCTGCCTTGCATGCTCTCCTTCTGAAAACTGAATGGGGGGAGGAAGCCACAATCCCACATGGCTACGACCTCCTTTTTGACATGACTTGGCTTTCATACACTGCTGGCATGTAGAGTGGACATTGCTCCAGGTGTCAGTGAACTTCTTTGTGTCTTGTTGTCCTTCCTCCCTTCAGCAGGAGTACTGCCTGCCTGAGAGCTGGGTACGATCTGGCTGAGTTATGCAGAAGTTCCTCAACTGTTGTCTGTAACTTCTGTCAGTGGGATATTTGTAAATTTAAACGCTTCCTCCCAGAAGTATCAAAGGAACTGAGGCCACTTTTCAGCATGGACATGAAAGGCTTTCGCGCACTGGTGCAGCCAGGATTGCCGTGGAGAACAAAGGCTTTTGCTAATCGCTTCTAATGCCTTTCAAGTTTATGCCTCATTTTTCCCCCTTTTTCAGATGGCCTCCCAGAGTACTGAGATTCACTGACTGACTCATCAAATAATTAACAGGAGGAGGACTCAATCTCTGAAACTTTTGAACACCTCTTTTAATTTTCTTGAATAAGCCAGTACTCTGGCCAGGATTCAATTTGTGTAATTACATTTGACCTGACTTAATCCCTTGGCAGTTTCAATTGCATGTGGTAGTTGTCTTGGCTCCCTGTCCTGGGCTGCCATTCAATGCTACTCCATGGTTTTCAACAGCTGTTGTAATTCAGATGTACAAATGGGTGTATTTTCTTGGTGAAAGCATTCCTCATATCTCTATCCCTTGCTAAACATCTTTATCTCACTAGTATTTTGGGAGGTAACATGTCTGATGCTGCAGATGATCTGCTGAAGTCCTTGGAACTACTTTCAGCCTTAAAGGTGGGCATGCATTTAGAGTCTTTTATCAGTTGTCCAACATACATTTTGAGATTACTTTGAGTTTTTCACCTTCAGGCATTTATTACTTAATCTCCTCAGCTACTGTGTAGTGTTTTAGGGATGTTATTGGTGTAGGTATTCCTCTTTAGCCTTGGAAACAGCACTTCTGCTATCCAATCAGTGCTAAACAGGAGTGTGTCACCTTCCTGTGCTGACAGCAGTTGGGCTGGCTGGCTGTAAGTGTTGGCATTGCTAAGAGTGCAAGTGATGAAGGAAAGCAAAATCCCAGGGCAGCTGGGTAGGATTACAAAGGATGAAGAAAACCATCCCAAGCAGAAACTTGGAGATGGACAAAGTGCAGTAGCCAAAAGTACAGTCAGACAGATGATCCATGCAAAAGACAAGACACAGAGTTCTTGCATTGGCACATCCTTAGATGTGCAACAAACGTCTTGTTTTCACAGCAGGTGACAAATTGAGTGTTTCTTGGCTTCAGCCATTGGAAAAGACGTATTTGTTACAAAGCCACTAGATCCTTTGGGGGCAGGAGGAGCTCCTTCTGAGCGGAGGCAGGAATTTAGATGAGATGGGGTGCAAAAGGTGATCTACTGGTGAAAGGTGCTGTTGTTGCAAATTGTCTGCTACCATCTAACTCTGAGAGCTACCATCTAACTCTCTGTTTTTCTGAGAGCCTCCAGAAGTAGGATGGCAAATGTTCATTGCTGTTCTCCCTTGTTGCCTATTATCTTTCATGAAATTTGGGATGTTTTTGTCATTCAGAGCTCTCCCCTGTGTTTCTGAGCACTGTTCATGTAGATAATTTCTTTACCTTTCTACATTGTCACCAAACATTTGGATTTGTGAGAGATTTCATTTTGCTAGGTAGAACATCCTGGAGATCAGGAGGTAAGGAGTATGTTGTGAATAAAAAAACATTCATCAGACCTGACTTTTGCCCTCTGGATCTATCCCATAATTAAACACATTTAAATCTCGGAGTGGACGGGAAATCTTGCCTCTGTTGGTTTCAGTGACACTGTAAATAAAGTCACCAATGGTAACATTAAAATTTGTCCCCTGTCACAGGGCTTAAAGGTTTGGAGTCAAAGCCATCTGATTTTGACGTATGCTGGGTATTGCTTATACCTTGGCAGAGCTTTCTGGAAAGTTCATGAACACTTTGTTTCCTAGAACACAAATTTATCAAACTCTTATGGTGGTTGTCAGAGAAAATGTGGCCAACTCTGAGTGGTGGTGCATGATGTATCTACAGTCAGTGATGTTGCTTTTGAAGATCTGTTTGCATGCTAAATAATGGGGTGCAGAAAATTGCATTTCAGAGTTGCTGGCTTTTCCTTTACTCCTGGACTGGACTCTGCCTGCCATCCTGAAGACAAATCTTTTATTTTTCTTGTTTCAGAGTACTTTGTAACTGTGTGTGTCTGAATGCATCAGCCTTTGGAGGTGAGCGTCTTCCCTTGAAACAGCCTCGTGATATCCAAGTGCCTTCTCTCTTGGGGTAAGGAAAGACATACACATGCAGAGATTGAGAATATGCTGTGAGCAGAAGCAGAAGAATGGGCAAAGAGAGAACAAGCAGCACTGCCTCAACCTGTAAATTTTGGATATGGTGAACTTGTCATGGAGGGAGGGAGTAAACTAAATCTGTCCACTGTAAATAAAACAAATTATAAACTTAAATTACAGCAAGGAAATTTAGCTGAGGTGTCAGTGAATGATCCACAGTAAGGATAGCTGAGTGCTGGAGTGGATCCCCCGAGGAGATGGGCAGTTTCAGTCATGGAAAGGTTTAAGAACAAGTTGGAAGAGCAATAGCAGATGTGCTTTTAGGAGAACCAATTCTTCCATGTGGTAGAAAAATAGACTAGGTGACTTCTGGAGAGTTGCACTAACCCACTGATAATTAGAAATGAGAATGTGTGAAATTCTTATCTTAACAACCTTATTCAAAGCTGATAAGGTAAAAGGCAAAGCTGGGTATATCTCTGCAGAATGAGCTGCATGGTTTAGGTGAAGAATTGATGCAGCACCAATTAATGCTGGTGCTCAGTGTCTTTGTTACATGAATGGTGATGTTGTTGTGGAGGGAAGTATAAGCTCAGGGGAAAGAAGAGGTTTAATCCTCTGTTGTTGGCATGTAGTGTAAACTTGTGGTAAAAACAGGAAGTTGTATCAATTCTGGTTCCTCTGCAGTAAGTTTTGGAAGTTTGGGTCACTTCCATGATCCATGTAAGGGGTTTACTCTTACTCTCAGGGGTGTAATCTCATCTGTCCAATTGTGACATGAGAACACAATGCTACAAATATACATACACTGAGAAAACCACAAATATCATGTGGAACACAGAGAGGAACCAAGTGATTACTTTTCCTCTCTTTTTCCAGGGCTGATGAAGTGGAGGAGGGTTTCATTTTTCTTTTCTTGCTCTTCTGTTCATGTTCTCTATTGTGTTTTTTTGTCTTGTCTTGACAGCAAACACAGCAGGCTTTTCCTGAATTTAAAACTGCTGGCTCACCAGCTAGGTCTTGAAATTGTGTCCTGAAGATGTCTGCTCCTTTAGTTCCCTTGCTTCTTCCTTCATCCCTTCCCTGGGAGTTGCTGATGACAAATGGAGGCTGGGCTCAGGCAGCCTCCAAGCCGTTGTATAACAAGAGGGGTGTTCAGGTGCTTTGTCTTCCTTGGTCCAGTGAAGAAGATCAGTGAGATGCCTTCTTATCTTGCAGGACATCTGGAATTCAATGGGAAGTTCTTCAACCTCTTGTTGGACTTTGATTTCTTTAAAATTTTCATTTCATCCATAATGTCAGCAAACACTGGTGTCTGCCCTGGCATTACACCATTGTCTGATTGTTCCTTATCTCCTGCTTAGCAGAGATAAGCTGTTGTGTCTCAGGGGTATGAGGACATGGAAGAAACTTGCAAATAGCTCTAAGAAATGCAGATGGTGTCAAGAAGAAAATAAGGGATGCCTTTCTGAAGTCACCTTTGTACCTGTTTTTTTTAATTTTTTTCTCTTTTCTTTTTTCCTCCTCTTGAGCTTTTCAATTCCTGCAACTATCTGCTCAAATCTTGAAAGCAAAATGTGTTCGTGGAAAGATGCAATTTACTGTGTTCCCCCATGATCTCTTGATCTCAATCAATCAAATAAATCCAAGACCTTGCAATTCACCTTGTGCAAGGACGGTTAATAAGTTGAGGGGTTGTGCCAATGGTAGTGATGGTTTTCCAGCCTTGTGCTTTTTTTTTATTGTTGTTCTTTTTTATGGTTCTGACCTTTTGAACTGGTCAGGGTAAGATTATTTGCAAAGAATAGTCCATAAATATGCCTGTCAGGACTGGACTTAATATTTGAGCATTGCTGCTTAGCAAAAGAAAGCAATATGCCAAAGTTCAATTTAGATTTCCCTGCAGGGTTGAAAATAATGACAAGACTCACTTGGCAGAGATGAGTCCTGCCACCTCTATGGGAGTGGCTGCTGTGTGGTCCTGCAGCACTTTGTAGCTGTGTGCCTAGTTCAATTGTCTGTTTCTGAAATTTGGTGTCTGGCATCTCGTGCTGGGGCTTGTTTGGGGTGGAGGAGCCCTGGATGCATCTCCTGGCTCTTTGAGGTGCCAGCTCAGTCAATTGGTAGCTTCCCTTGATTTAGCAACTGATTTTTTTTTCCAAGTTCTGTGATCCTTGCAATGCAAATGAGGGTTTGTAGAGATGCTCTAAGTTCTGCCCTGCAAAGCCACCCCATTCCCATCTTTGTGCTCCATCCTTGCCCTCAGTGCAACCAGCGTGGGTTGCAAGCATGGCTGCAGAGAGCCCAGCGTGTCCTGTGGCGAGTTTTATTAGGTGAATTGTGTCCTGTGGGTTACCTGCTGTGATCTCTCAGCCCTTTGGGAATCCCAGATTTCAGTGGAAAGCCATCTGGCTTTTCCCTGCTGTGACTATTCATGAAAACAGTTCCTAGATATCACCCACCTAATGTTTGCCACCATGGAAGCGTGCATCATCGAGTGGGAAGAATCTTGCTTTACAGTCAGGAAATATCTGGGTGGTTATTGAGATATTTGCTGTCCAGTAAATAGAATTGACTCCTGTGGGTCAATGAGAGCAACATGAGGACTGAAGCTGGAAACCAGCAGCTACTATTTAGGCATTAACCTGCAGCACTTGGAAGATACACAGTCTATAATGTCCAAATGGTCTCTTTAGGGCCTGGTCATGAATGTAAGTATAGTTTCTCTGAAGCATGTGGCTCTTCTGAGTTCATTTTTTCTTCCTTCTGGAGATGAGAAAGCCAAGGTGCTGAAGACCACTTGAAATTTATTCACAGGAAGTTCATGGCTCTGGAGCCCTGAGGCTGGGTCTGAAACCCATGGGTTTGGCCAAAAATCCCCAACAAAAAGCTTATATGTGGCGAAATAAACTATGCCATTAGCTGAGAAAGCAATTCCCAGTAGACTGGGACTTGGTGATGAAAAAAAGGTGCAAAAAACAGTGCAGCTTGTGGAAAGTCACAGAGCACCTCCATGCCAGACCCCTGTGAGAGCTCAGCAGCTCTTGGTCCAAATCAGCAGTGCTGTAACTTGTGGTGGAATAGATGGTTCTGGTTCTCTGTCAACACTGACTGAAAAGTTTTAGAACAAATAAATAAATTTATCTTTAGGACCATCTTAAAATCCGGAAGTAATTTCTCTACCACCTGTAAATAACTGAACATAAAAGGAGAGGATATGGTGAAAATAGGTAAGAGGGTGGCAGAGAAGAACCTTTGTCTTGTGTCACACCCTCACAAGCCTGGTGGCCACGTTGAGAGTTGGGGACAGCTGTCCCCATCCCCGCAGCTGCCATCCTCCAGGTGGCAAAGAAAAAGCCCTCCAATGTGCAGGAGTTTTGCATGTCCCAGAAGGCAACACTCTCCTTTCTTATTCCAAAAGGGACTGGCAATTAGCAGCAGGGGTAATAACCACCTGGAATTAAATTCTGTGGAGGCATGAGAAATAGTAGGGTATATTTGGAAGTATCTATTGCATATATATATTCCTCTTAAGAGAAACATGTTGGAGGTGCCATATCCATAAATACTAATAAGGCTGTTTGATTCCAATTTTCAGGTAAGATTAACATTTTATTGAGTATTATATCTGTCACATTCAATGCTTTAGTGTACCATCCTCTCAGGCTTATTAGCATAATTGCAGTGCTTAAGCAACAATAAAAAATTCAACAGTAAAATAGCGGTTAGCACAGGCAATTTGTTATCAAAAGCTTTTACTTAAGGACAGCTTTTGAGCATATTTATTATCCAGTTAGGGCTATACATTATTTTTATTTAGAAAAAACAAGAGGGAAGCAATGTAGGAATGCCTTTTCTCTTTTGGTGTCTCAATCAGAAGGCCTGAAAATTGGTCACTGCCTTTTTCTTAAAATCACCCAGCAAATTCACTTGGGGTGGGGAGGCAAGTTAACAAAAGAGACTCTGGTCTGGAGCAGGGCTGTGACGTTAATAACTCAGCAGAACAATTCCAGTATTCTGATGCCAACTGGAGCGCCCTTTTAAAATTCCCTCATTGCATCCTGGGCTCTGCAGATACTGTCCTTTGTCTGTGGCTGATGGCACTGTCCCTGGGGCAGTGCAAGGGCAGGGGTGGCCCAGGCTTACACCCCAGAGGTGACTGCAGCCCAAAATGCAATGCAGCTGTTGTGGTGATGCTCCCACAGATGAGGGGAGGGACTGGACAGGACCTGCGGGAAAACTGACTTTGATATCAGTGCTGGTTGTCTCTGAGGCTGGAGCAGAGGAACATGGCCTGTCTGTGACAGTGCTGTACACCCCTCCTCCTTCCTTTTCTCGCTTTGAGGACTCTTAGGGGAACAGTCCTTTTGCTGAAAAGGTGTAGTGTAGATGTCAATGCACCTGTTTGTGTGCCAGCACTTGCTCACGCATGTACAAAATCTCAGCCAAGATTTTGTGTGTTTAAATTTTCAGCACATTTTCTGTTTGTACTTAAAATACAAAGTTGTAGCTCATAAATGAAGAAGTCAATAAGTTTTAAGCAACTCAAGAAGTCCTTGGACTAGAAGGTCTATCAAGAAAAGCGCATGGAATTGGCAGAGGAAGATTGCTGCTGTGATTGTTTGTGATTACTTTGCTGGTAGAGGCTTTTTACAGATCCTCTCTTGCTTGTGTTTGCTCTTCCAACATCCTTCAGCCTTTGCTTGAATTGTTGTCCTTGTTCCTGAGATCTGTGCTCACTTTCAGCAACCTCCCTGTCACTGCAACCTTGTTGCCTCTGCTCTCACGCGTTTTCCTCATTTCCTCCCTTGTTCTAGGAGACCTCCTTTGCCTTGTGCAGCTTTTTCAGAGGTCACTCTTCCATCTTCTTGATGGATGACTTAGGTGTGGGCCTGTTGCTGTGTCATTTTGGTGGTACCCAAAGCCCAGAGTGAGGATCTGCCACAGCCCTGGTGATGCCTTGATAAAGCTCACAGTCTGGAAAAGCAAGAT